CAGTTACTGGTAAAAGCTTCAAAATATCATAATAAATCAAATTCATTTCAATGCAAGTTAGAGGGGAGAATATATTGGCGAGCCTGTTACTGGTGGGGCTTATATTAAAGTGTTTCTGTATTTTGTAGCTTTAAATTGCTTGTGCCGTTTTTCTTCAACTTTGACTGACGTTCACATGGATATAGCACTAAATTGGCCACATTTTCTTTAGAACGGGAAGTCTTTACCGAGTATATCCCCAAACATATCAAACTTTGTGGGCTATAACTTTAACATTTTGGGCGGTTTATTTGCAATTGCTTAAACTGCTATTTCACTACGTCAAGATTATATCTTCATTTGAGTTGCTTTTTAAATTTATTTCCCTCGTTCACATCATCTCCCAGCGCGTCCAATTCGGATCTGTTATATGAAAGGTAAAATATTTAAAATTAAAAACGCTATGGTGACGTTCCTTTGGATTGAGTATAGTGAACCCAAAATATTAACACGGAACTTGCACCATCATTCACCATCATATTTAGATGTCCTCCTTTGTCTTAGAGGAAAATTAGCTCGCCATGTACCTCTCCTCGACTCTCCAGTGAATTTTGCAGAACAATACAGTTCTCTAATTGCTTGGTAGTTTGTCATTACCATGACTTTTCTCCGAAGCAACTACGTTCAAGCGAACCTTTTTTAACATATCTGTTTTCCTTATGTGATAGCTTCATCATGTTGAAAAACAATTAGATATGCGGTGGGCTGTATTTTCATTTTATTAAACGACGGAGTTATTGGCAATCTTGTTGCTGCCGTACAATTGGCAAAACAAATAGCACAATTGTCTGGTTTTTAGAAAACGAGCTTAACTGTCATGATCAGTGATACAAAGTTTGTTAACCGATTCTTGATCGATACATCTGTAGAACAAAGATTCAAATTGATTAAAAAAGGCTTTTTATTAATGTCAATCGTCTCATCGTAGCCAGGAAGTCTTAAATTATGTCTGGGCCAGTTTGTACCATATACTTACGAGATGAGAATTAAAGAGAAAAAATGCTTTACGTTCGTTTTTGCTGCTACTATCTCTCTTTTTAAATCCAGATTAAAAACATTTCTTCTTAGTTGATTAACCATTTGTGAATAATACTTGTTTTTTGCTGCTTTTTGTCTGTTTAGTTTTGCTTACTTTTTATCCTAATATTATTTCAGTATGACTTTGCCGTTTATTCATTCATTATGTTTAGTCTTAGTTTAGGGAGGGAGCTCATATAAAAAACCCCAAGGTTTCCATTTGAGCTTCCTCGCCAGAACATTTTTTTAAAATTCTTTTACTTGCAATTTACGTCTCTTTAATCTTTAAATAACATTTTTGTAATATATTGAATGTCTGTATGCATATGTATTTTTTTCTGGCAAAAAAAATACATTGAAACTAAACTGAAACTGAAACAGTTTCAGAGCATGCTAAACCTTCTTTTTAAAGCGATGGCTTGTGCACAGCCCAACATATAAAAACCAGTTCATACTCATGCGAATGAATTCTTATTTTCAAATAATAGAAAGAGCACCAGGACTTACACCTAATTGCAATAACATTGTTACGGAAAAAAATGCTAAAAGGAAGACAGGAAGAAGGCAAGTAGTAATTAATTAGACTTACTTGGGGTGCGTTCTTTTGGGATGATCACAGGGGATGATGCGAAACAGGATCAGTGATTCGAGATCACTCGGATAATGGTAGATTAAGGCACGGACCATTAGAAAACTTATAACGGGGGTGGGGGCGGGCGAAGTGCAAAAAAATATATATTCGCGCAAGGCAAAATTAAAGGAAAAAAAATTCATGCGCGAAAATTAACCCTAAAAGATATTCATGCCACGGCCTAAAAACAATACACACAAGGAATTTGATAACAAAAAAAAAAACCTGTGGCTCAAAAATTCCCCACCCCCACCATAACTTTTCTAATGGTCCGCCCCTAAATGAACCTATGAATCTATCCTGGACAAGGATTCATCACAGGCATCCCAAGCTCACGTTATGAGTGCGATATGCAAATTTAACTTTCTTACAAGAGAGTCGGTGTCGCGTTTTAGAAATGAGGAGGAGGAGGAGGGAAAATAGTAAAATTGTGGAGGAGAGAATAAAAACATTGAGGAGAGAAAATAATAAAATTGTGGAGGAGGGAATAAAACATTGAGGAGGGAAAATAATAAAATTGTTGAGGAGGGAATAAAAAAATGGAGGAGGGAAACGCAGGGTAAAAAAAAATAGCTTGCTTTCTTTGACTATTTTCATAGATTCCTTCTAAATCAATGAGTATTTTTTAATTTTAGGGTCATAAAGTGGATTTCTTGTGTCTTAAGAGACGTGTCTGATTTTATCGCGAGCATTTAATAGTCGCGTATTTCAATTGATCCTTCTTAAGTTTTTTATTGTTTTGTGTTTTTATAATAATATGTCAAGACTGTCCCTTGGCTCTAGCTGTAGAGGCAATTTGTATGCAAATGT